TTTGACTTGATGTAATTCACGTACTTCTTGACGTAGTTGTTGTACTCCATTTCGTAGTTCTTGAACTTCATCACGTAATCGTTTTGACTCATCATATATTTCTTTATTTTGATCGACAACTTTTAATAAGTAATTTTGTATTTGTTGTAATGAACACTCTGTTGTTGCTCCTGCAGTTGATGCTAAAGTTGTATTTGATGCTATAGGTGCAGTTGGTGTTTCCTAAAAAAAACCATTTTAGTTATAAACATCAAAACACAAACAAAATTTGCTGCTTTTTTACTTTGAATATAACCGAAAGCAGACAAAATATATTATTTATTAAAGCAGCCAACTTATTGGAAAAAATGAAAAAGAAAAGTAATGATCGGTGTAGATGGCTACAGTGAATGACAATAGTTGACATCTAAACAATACTAGTCCATTTGCAACCGTTATCAATATCTGATTTTGTTTTTTCTATTTTGTTCTATTCGATAGATGTGAAGCTAGCACGACAACCAATCAAGATCGATGTCCATACCGACCAATCAAAATCAGTCCATATTTTACCATGTAAAATCTATCATATACCAACACAACTTTCCTTAGCAACCGAATACAAAACCCGATGAAAACCACGAAAACATAAACACCCATGTGAAATACACTTAAACAATAAAAAAAACTTCCACACAACAATGTCGTTGGCTTCTAAGAATTATATCGACCCATCTCGACTCCTACTCCACTATGAAAATACCGTGAATACACCATTCAATAGAGAATTCAATTCTCTACCAGATGTTGTCTTCACTAAACAGAGATTCGATTCTCAAAAGACCCTTGAGTCCGAAAAAAAGATCCGACTCATATGACTCATAGGGTCAGTTCACGTATCGCAAGACATTCTGGTCGACACAATTTCGATTGCCCAGAGAGAATGAATATACCATCAGATAGAGGATTTGATTCTCTACAAGATAATAACTTCACTATAGCGAGATTCGATTTTCAACGGACTCTTGAGGCCGAAAAAAGATCCGACTCATATGACTAATAAAGTCAGTTCAAGTATTGTGGCCCTCTCTGCTGGACACAATTTCCATTGCCGAAAGAGAACGAATACATCATTCGATAGAGAATTCAATTCTCTACAAGATGATGTCTTCACTATAGAGAGATTCGATTTTGAACAGACCCCTGAGTCCGAAAAAATGATCCGACTCATATGACTCATAGGGTCAATTCACGTATTGAGAGACATTCTGGTGGACAAAATTTCCAATGCCGAGAGAGAATGAATACACCATCAGATAGAGAATTCAATTCTCTACGAGCTGATGTCTTCACTATAGAGAGATTCGATTTTGAACAGGGCCTTGAGTTCAAAAAAAAGATCTTTCTCACATGAGGCATACGGTCGGTTTATGTATTGCGAGATATTCTGCAGGACACAAATTCCATTGCCGAGAGGGAACGAATACATCATTCGATAGAGAATTCAATTCTCTAGAAGATTTTTTTTTTTTTGTGTAGACAGTGTCGATTTTGAGCACTGCCCTCAGTCGAAAAATGTTGAAATTCGTTTTGTTAATGAGTGATAACCTGGTGAAAATTATTGATGAAGGTTTTCTTTATCGTATGTTGATGCATAAACAGTTCTCGTGTTCTGACTAATTTTTAGGAATACTTTTTTTTGGACACTGGTAGTGAATTTATTAATATGGATGTTATTAACAAATTCCATCATGCAAATTTTGTTTCCTATACAACACAGTCGGATAAAAGAAAAAAACAAATTTTCATTTACCTTCTCTAATATCCCTTCTTCGATGATGGGTGTGGGTGTGGGTGTGAGTGTGGGTGTGAGTGTGGGTGTGGGTGTGGGTGTGGGTGTGGGTGTGGGTGTGGGTGTGGGTGTGGGTGTGGGTGTGGGTGTGGGTGTGGGTGTGGGTG